CGTCTCCAACCAACAGCGACCTAATTCGATATACTCCACCTAACTTCACCGATTTGATACAACGTCTCCAAACTGATAGTATTGGCACGACAGTCATAAGGAGTATAATACTGTCAATGCAGTCACACGGTTCAATTTTTTAAAACAGCGACCTCAGCTTTCCTCTCTGTCTCCTTTTTATTGAGCTAGAGAGCAGGATGACACCTGGTTAACTCAACATAATATCCGTTGTAACTAATTTGTTCGCATGAATCTCTGGGAGTCTCATTATGAACTAAAGAAACTTGATGAGCAGATAATGCAGCTACAACTTCATGTGTCAAACATACACCAAGTTAAGGTGCAAGTCAACATGGTAGACGAATGTGACAACTTTGTTTGTCTAACGTGTGTACAACATGTGCCGAGCTAAGGTGCAAGTCAACATATTAGAAAAATGTGACTACGGAAAAAAAAAGGTTTAAAATAGGAGCCAATAGAGCTAAAAGCATTGTGATTACAAAAATCTAGAGGATATTTGTTAGACTCTGAAGCCTCAACTTGTCTTATGTTGTTGGAATGGTAAGTCTTTACATGCACTCGTCGCAACAAGCTCACTTTGACTCTGAATATATTATACTCCGCCGTCTTGATTTTACTTGGGACTATGGCCTCTTTTACAACAACAATGGCTCTACTTCTCTTTGTGTGCATTCAGATCTAACTATCTTAATTGCCTCAATAAATGTTGCTTCGTTGATTCTTTTTTGTTTATGCTAGCAAACGGTACAATCTCTTGATTGTCAAAACAACAAGCTACGATGTTTGAAAATACTATCAAATTGGAGTACAAGACGCTTTCTGAAGAAACCAAGGAAAAAGTCTATTGCCCATATTGCTTAACAAGCTCTAAATTAAACCACCTGTTGCAGTTCTAATTACACGTCAAGAATCCAACATTTGCGAAGACATCAAGCACGATTTGAGGCAGATCCAACTCAAGCGGATTTGCAAATCTCATGTGACAATCAAGATACTGTAAAATTCACTCTTAATCGTGTACTCCATGTTAAACTCAAACTCATCAGAGCAAAGCATCATTTGTAAAACAATGAGTTTTAGAGGAAAAATTGCACTTGATCTTCTGATGAAACCCTTGCCACAACACAAGTTTAACAAACATCGCCATTTTATTGATATGCAATCACTAGCGGAATCACATGAGATTCTTTAGCCTTGCGGTTCACATTTATTGCTAACCAACTCTTACAATTGGGCATGATGTTCCAACGCTATTGATGATCTACTCGAAGGTTGCTCACACCCCACGGATCAATGTCACACGGAAAGGTAAGAAGATACATGAGCACACATATACAAGCGGTCATTATTTTCAACGTCATGAAAGAGTAACATAACATATTTTTTCGAGTGAAACACTCAATTTGCAATGTACTCTCTCATTGCATATTTCGTGTTTCCCTGGAAAGTATATGTTATAAGTCTAAGTGGATCATAGTCGAGGAAAACCGTTTAATCCTCTCTGTTGATTCTAGATTTATGTGAGTTGTTGTGTTTAAGTGAGCAACTACTTCAGTGTTGCGCTTGTATACATCAACTTATTAACTATTGAGTTTTCTTCTCTCACAACAGATAGTAGTTTTGGAAGAATCGTCAAATACAGCCAAGTCCATCATGTCATTAACAGCATTATATATATGTGGAGAAGAAACATTACATGTAGGAATTTTGGCTTTTTTTTCTCTGCAAATCCTCAATTCAAAGAGTAGCAAAGTGATAACGACTTAATTTCTCTCGCTTGTGCGATCATGCGTCGGTAGATGGGGAAAATGCCCTCAGCCTTCACTACTCACCCATGAGAACAACGTAAATGGATCCCCAAATATTGCATAAGTGATCATGCGTCGATAGATGGGGAAAATGCCCTCAGCCTTCACTACCCACCCATGAGAACAACGGAAATGGATACCCAAATATTGCATAAGTGATAAATGGTAAAAGATCAAGCACAGAGTACCCAAAGGATCAAAAGGCTTAAAAACACAATACAAACAAAAATCACAAACAAGAAAAAGACCCCAAAGGTCAATCCCTAGCTAGTGCTAAGAGCACTAGAACAGTAACCAATAATGTACTTAATATAACAACCTAAATCAAAAGTAAATAACTATAATAAAATATATAAATTCTCCACATCTATATTATGAGTAAGCCTAATGTCTTCGTACCTAGAACAAGTAACAAATACATGCTCTTCATCCTTAATGTACCCATCGTCACATAATCTACAAATACATCACTCCTATCAATACTAAGCCAACATACTTACTCAATTTCAAACCTATGAGATCAAGTTGTATGTCTAGCAATAATATGACATAAGTACGTAGAGATTATTGCAAGTAGTTATTCATTTTCATAATAAACAAGCATAGTATTCACATGAAGTTCATAAAATAGCATCTTGGTGTCGCGCTTGCTCCACATAATGTTCAAAAAATTCTCCTTTAGACGTTCGCGAAGTGCCATAAGTTGCAGATCCCAATCACATTATTCAACATTCCACCTCAAAGACCAAATTATCACATCCACTAACCATCCTTTGGCACATGTGGCACTCAAAGCTTCAAGATTAATGCGAGAAGCATGAAGAGATCTCACAAATCTGATTTAAGTGATGGTCAAGTATAGAGCTTTGAAATCTGATTCCAACTTTGATCTGCACCGGGAATCGTTCGAACAGGCCTCCTTGTAATACTACTCTAACCGATACACAAGTTTTCGTATCTCCATAGAATGCATACTTGCAATAGCTATGACTCTAAGTCATAGCTGGTGTAGTATAAAATGTAGGCCATCACTAAAGAAAGTCTTAACAGCACCTTACATGACGGCTTCGTAAGGGGATTCCAGGTCAAAGTGTATGTTGTCTATAAAATAGGAGCACAAAGTAATCATTAATTTTTTAAATGAAAAATTAGTAACTTAGGAAAGGAAAGTACCTTAAACCCATCACATCTAGGGATGATGAAGCAACATGGGGCTAGGCCTCAATAGCATCAGAATGGTAAGTACGTCCTGTTGCACAGGATGGAGCCTTCTCAGGGAAGAACATGTTTTAGACATGTTTTTTGTATAGCCTTGTTATTTTTGGGTATGTCAATGTTTCAGCTGCTAGAAGCTCAGAGCATGAAGATCAAGCAGCATGAGGTCATAGCAGATCTTGTGGTCGAGAAAGAAAGGGTACCTGGAGGTAGAAGGGTGACGAGACGCCTTTCCATCCATCCCGATGATGTTGATGTTGTGTAAAGTCCCATCAAACCAAAGCTGTTGTTAAAAATGTCGATGTCACAAAATACAACGCTCCAAATCTAAAAATCAGAGTGAGGACCTCATCTCCAGACCTGGCGCCCCATGTGACGTCTGTACAACAACGGAGTGAAGAACTGACTAAATTTCAGACTCCACTCTGCTGAGCGACGTAGTGTTAGCTGCTGTGCAATGTATGACGAAGATCACAGGGTATCCTCACATATAGCTACGGCATCTTCACTAAATTCTAACCAACTTAGATTTTAAATCGAAACACCAAAAGTCTAACTCCTTATGGTAAATCTAGACAACTTACACGGTTGTGTATACAAACGAAAGTGATGGCTAGATCTTTGTTGAGAGTCAGACTTATTCAACAAAGTCTTCTCGTGTTTGACGCTACGAAACCAATTGTGTACTTTTGTCAAGATTTCCATTCTACTTGCCGAATGCTTTCATCTCTATGGAATTTCAACTACTCATGTGTAACATTCAATATAGTCCGTGTGAATATATATATATATATATATATATGTAAGTTTCTTGGTTTTTTAATGTAACTCATGAGTGATAAACATAAATTTAGCATAATAGTCATTTTATGTAGTAAATTTTTTTTAAAAAATGATTGTATTACGATCTATTTGAACACATTGTTTTGCAATATTATTCAAAAAGATATAACCACCACTAAACTCACATATTATCCCTTTTTTTATTTAAATTTTTAAAATAAATAATTTGAAAGTATGATAATGAGCTAAATAATTGAAAATAAATTCTAAGCAAGAATATTCTTAATCAATCTACTCATCTTAGAATTAAAATATATAATACAATTATGGAAGAAGGTCGCATAATGTAAACCATGCTTTTCAAAGTACGTCTTCCTTGTTACTACAAAATGGAATTTTAGAAAATAGAAACTTCATCCATGACAGTTCATAAGAATGATAATAATCATGTTGTTGTCTTTACAGGCTTCTTTTTTTTATTGTTGAAGTATACCTTTGTAACATTGACTAAATAAGTGAAATAGTTTCAGATCCTATATTTTTTATAACCATTCTAAAAAATAGTCAGCGCAGAGTTCATCAACAAGAGAAGGAAATATCATCTTGTTCCTGTTGAATGTGCTATATCGTTTAGGTTTTCGAATGTATTTGGAAACCATTTGCTCAATTGGCAATTTTACCCCTTAATTTTGAACTCTGATCAATGATTGATAGATATATAAAAAAATTTGGCTTTCAACCCATTAAAATTCATGAATGGAAACGAAAGTAAAACGAAAATGATAATCTTATGTTCTCCGCTAACAATTCAAGTTCAATGCATGTTTGTGGCAAAAAATGAGATATCAGTTTTGGACACGAGCAGTTGTACGCATCCTGCAAATGTTTCGTGTGTGCAAATGGAAGGTAAGTACTCTTATCGTTACCTAAGCTGCAGTATCGGTTTCCGTTACTGATGTCTAAGGCCCGCCATGTCATACAGAGATGTCAATTTTACAGCGTGGCGGTACACGTCATGCAGATTCAGAGCCGCAGGCCATTGCCACTGCGTCCATCCAAGTTGTTATTTGTGGTTCTAACTCGAAACGGATGCGATAACTCAGCGAATGGCGTTCGATTGGTGATCTGACGGACAGAGCTGATCCGCTCTCTCCGTTCACTCTGGAGGAGAGTTCTGTGGCTCTTCTCGAGTCGACGAGCGAGCAATCGACCGAAAGCAAAGCAAAGGCTGTTCGAAATTGAGCTTCTCATCGGAACGGGACGAGCTCTGCATTGCGCTACCACGCTTCGTCCGACCGATGGCAGCGATGGCTTGTGGCAGCTCAATGGTGCTCGGGAGCATCCCTTGCAGTGCAGTGGCCACTCCCTCTGCTTCTGGAGCTGGTACGTGGACGCATGAGTGACAATTTCCACACTCTTTCTCACTGTCCCCATATTTATCTAGCATCAGTCGTAAGCTCTAACATTTCATTTTGACGAGTGTTCCAAGCTCTTCGAAGCCTTGCTTCGATTATAGTTTCTCGCATATAAGCCACATTCGGTTTCTTACGTACCGCAATTCATTCATTTCAAGTGGCGACACTTGTGTCCATAGCTCAGACAGAGGCCGAGTGACGAACGACGTTGAGCAGACTCGCCACAAATCTCCGTGTTTTCTTTCGCGCACAATTATAAACTCGCTTTTATTCTTTGCGCTCTCATCATCAGACCAGTTCCACTTTCATGCCTTGGAGCGAACGAAATCTTTGATGAGACAGTGTAGAGCCGGATTTACGTGGTCAGACACAATGTGTTGAGCTGACGATTCTCGAAGCTCTGCTCTCTACCTGGAAATTCTGACCAACATTCTGTTTCGTATTCATCCTTATTGATTCTTCACCTGAGTACCCTTAGTACTACATCGCTTACGGGCGTTTATGAGCAATGAAGATAGTATGAATTCTCGTAGTAGAATGCTGTCCACCGCGAGCTTGAGTCTCGTATCATCATGTTTGCTATGCAACAAAGCACCGAGAGCTAGAAGACGTGACAAGTGTTTGTTTGTACTTTGGATTCACAGGACGTACTGAAAATGCTGCAATTACCAGAAGTGGCTTCCTCGGAAGTGCGTCTGTGGGGTTCTACAAGACAGCAGCTGCTCAGCTGTTGCCACAGACCAGGAAGAGCTCGCAGAATGTGGATTACCATCGAGGGCAGGTGGTCATGACCTCGGAATTCGAGAAGACGAACCCTTTCGCAGATGAGTTGAGAAGAACAGCTGCATTCATTTCAGCGCCCGGGAAAGGAATTCTGGCCTCGGACGAGAGTAATGCCACCACTGGCAAGCGGTGCGTGTCGGTGCCCGATTCCCTTGTATCTCATCTCAGCGCAAGTGTCCGCGATTCAAGCATTTGGTTGATTGACTTGTGCGCAGGATTGTGGTCAACGTACAATTTCACGCACCTCTCTGACATTGATTCTGTCTGAAATCTCTTCAGATTGGCCACCGTGGGTCTCGACAACACAGAAGCCAACAGGCAAGCATGGCGTGAACTTCTGTACTCCGCCCCGGGCCTCGGCGATGTAATATAACCACTGCACCATCTGTGAATTTAGCATCTATATAATTGCAAATTATGGGACCGACGAATTATGTACTCAGTTGCGTCAATTTTCCGACTTTGAGGCGGAGATACATTTTGCTGGATATGACGAATCTCTATATACGACGATGACGATCTGACTTGGGAAGATTCGTCTCTGCAGTACATCAGTGGCACTATCATGTTCGAAGAGACCTTGTTCCAGTCTTCCAGAGCCGGTGTCCCGTTTGTTGACATCCTCAAGCAGCAGGGTATTCTGCCTGGAATCAAAGTCGACACAGGGCTCCAGCCTATCGATGGAACCGATGGAGAAACCGCCACCCAAGGTCTCGACGGTTTGGCTGAGCGCTGCAGAAGGTGCAGATCTTCTGACTGCTTCCTCTTCTATCTACTTCATTCCGATTCTCTGCTCGTGGTATTCGAGCAGTGAGGTTTTACAGCAATCCTTTCTCACCCTGCAAAATCTGTGGCATTTAGATACTACCAACAGGGTGCTCGATTCGCCAAGTGGCGAGCTGTAATTAAGGTGGATTCTGAGAAACACCCTTCCTCCACAGCTATCATGGAAAATGCCCATGGTCTTGCTCGCTACGCGCAGATCTGTCAGGTATGTTTTTTCCGCTGTCATAAGGGCTTCCATCTCTCACCGGGAACAAGATGAGCCTAGTCCGTTACAGCAGAGTATGGAACTTGCCTCTTCGACATCTGCCACATATTGCACATTTGATAATGTTAGTCACAGTTTTATGCTACACTTAAAAAATTTGTTCCTCGTGCTTATGTAGTTGGTCAATCATCGAGCTTATGGTCACTCCGTGTGCAGGCTAATGGGCTCGTCCCAATTGTCGAGCCGGAAGTAACATTGGGCGATGGTGATTACAGGTAATCACGAATCCCACAAAGTGGCAGTATAGCTGAAATGAATACATTCGTCAGTGTCTACGTCTGAGCCAGGAATTAATCAAGCGCACTATGCAGTGTAGAGAAATATCTCTTTTCTAGCCCGGCTTCTTCAGCGTCAGGTCAAAATTTTTGCAACCGGCAGCCTTTGCAGCTGTATTCAGCGCGAACTTTGTTTTGAACTGCCTGACGACGAGAGTAGTTTCACTCAACTGAATCACACGCGATCAGTATACTAAGCTGTCGGATGGCCTGAACGCAGCATCGAGCGAACCGCTTACATCTCTGAGAAGGTCAACTCTCATGTCTTCCGCTTCCTGAACGAGTACAAGTAAGCTCTGTCAACTTGCTCTCTTGTTCATCTTAAATCCAGTCCTAAAATGGTTGTTAATAGGGCCTCAGCTCTCAGTGTCCAGGTGGTTCAAAATCGTCCCATCAACCTCATGTCATCCGTCTGACCAACTTCTCCATGTTTCTGCTCTGCAGTGTTATCCTTGAGGGCATCCTCCTGAAGCCCAACATGATTCTTCCTGGTAAGCGGAAAGCTTGTATCTTACCAGTTCATTGCAACAAAATAACTTTCGGCTGAAATCCATATCGACTGCACTTCTCACCATGCTCTTCAGTACCGCCGCGATTTTAATTATTTTATCATTAATTCTCCTACAGGTCTGGATGTGCCTACCCCTGCCCCTGAAGAGGTGGCGAAATACACCGTGCGCACCATGCTGCGTTCCATCCCTGCTGCCGTCCCAGGTACGCCCATCGATACATAAACAACTGAGAGAAAGGGGGCTGATAAGAAAATGAGTCATTATTAGAGAAGAGGATGGGCAGACAGACCCCATCACGTGATAACTTAGACGTACACGCGTCCTCCATCTCGTCCAGCATGCCTCATAGCTTACCGAAGGTTTTCACTCTATCGCAGGTATCCATTTCCTGTCCGGTGGAATGAGTGAAGAAGAGGCCACCTTGAACTTGAACGCCTTGCAGGTAAGACCAATGTCGTCGATGCCATGATTACTCTTTAAATTCATATATAGTCTTTATCGCTGAGGAAATAAATTGCTTAGTGTCTACACCATTTAATGTGTAACACTTGAAATATTTGTGAAAAAAGTATTCTAGCAATTTAGTTATGTATAATCTAATAATTCAATTACAATATAATCATGTCTTCATTCGTCACCGGTCTCCGCAGGCATATGGCCCAACCCCCTGGTCACTGACATTCTCTTACGGCCGCGCCCTTCAGTCCAGCACTTTGAAGATCTGGTCCGGAAAGGTATGTATGCGAAGATCCGGTAGTTTGTCGTTCGGTACACTGGATCCTTGGGCCGATCAAGTTACGACCGGTCATTGACTGTTGGTTATTCACTGATGGCCTGGTGCAGGAGGAGAACTGGGATGCCGCGCAGCAGAGACTCGTGGCACTAGCCAAAGCCAACTCTGAAGCCCAGGTCAGCGTCCCGACACCCTGATCACCTTGTTCCGACAACATTATTCCTGTCGACTCGTTTCTTGCACTAATTTTGATGAGTCCAACGGAGTATACATTGAATAATTTTAATCTTATAATATATACAAAGCCGTTAGGATATTATCGTCTGTCGTTGTAGTATAGTGGTGAGTATTCCCGCCTGTCACGCGGGTGACCCGGGTTCGATCCCCGGCAGCGGCGCTATGGGGTGGCCATGAACCCCCCGCACATTTTGTTTCAACTCGCTTTCACAACGAGTTGCGATGCACCGTCGAGTGAACGCTTAGGAGCGAGAACTGATCTTCGTTTACATTAAACTCTTGATCGTGTTCACATCCAATTCTTGAAAGTGATTTTCACTATTAGTTACTTCTTGCGTTGTCTACGAGGACTGACTGGTCCCCCTTTTGTTCTCTGAGTTGGAGTCTGAGTTTGAGAGGAAATTCGCGTTCCGGGAGAGAGGTTCCCATCTTCGTCATAATTCAACTTCAACCGCCATCACATAAGATTTACCTCAAACAGTAGTTTGAGTTGAATGTTAGCCAGCTATGAGTTAGCCTTTACTTTTTACAGTGGCTTTCCCTTATATCTGAGCCAGTGCAGACCACACTGGAAGTTAGTCCATCGGAGCATGAAATGATTCCTCGAATTTATCAATTTCGAAGAACATTCTTCTTTTTCATAGTCATTAATTTTCGGCGTTGCATTCGCAGCTCGGCAAGTACACTGGACCTCATCCATCTCCAGGCGGAACTCGCATCCTCCAACAACTGCGACTCGGTGGAGCTGGAAAGTAGAGTTCTTACTAATGCGGGCTACTCGATTGTACAGTAGTAGTGATGCTGACAATAGCAAAGGAGAACAGCAAGCCTCTTAGAGTTTTGTGTAAAATAACGACGGCCCAGTTCCGGCCTCTTGTTCTTCATCCGATTGCCTGCTGCACGAGGTGGCATTGCCAGGGGAGATAGTTGAGAGCAGTATCATAGCAATATATTCTTTGAATCTGCACCATCAACAAGTGCAAGTTGATCATTTTACGCCTGTCGGTGAAAGACAGGTTGTAGCTTACTACAAATATTGTTCCTGCCGCACCACATATTCAAAAGCGGTGGCGTCTGTGATTTTTTCACAAATTTGATGACATTACGACTATGAATTTCCGTACAGTAAATTCCTTCTTAAATACTTGAAACCTGAATAGAACACGTAGCACAGGACTTTGCTTGAGAGGAAGGCAGGTCTCGGTTAAACTCCCGAATGAGTCTAAAAACGAGGATTGGTTATTGCTCTCGTCTTCATGGAATTTAGTCATCTCTTCCTCCTTCGGACTCTTCTTCTCATGCCATATCCGAGCAAAGGCAGTCCCTCGCTTTCCACGAAGAGAAATAGGAAATAATGTCACACAGTCAATGAAGCCATCAAGTTACTTCCTACTGAACAGCTTCACTAGCAGTAGTTTCTAACAATCGAACACATTCACTTGTGTGGACTTGGACGGGAACGAGCAGAGTAGCGTGACCACACCGCAAATGGACTAACTGACAAACCTGCAAGATTTTCACTCTCTCGGAAAACACTTCGAATGGACAGCTCCCAACACTTGGCTTTTCCACACTTGTTTGCAGGTGTCCGGCATATCACATAGCACTACGAGATTTCTCCCCGGTGTTTCCCCAAGTTGCACGCAAGCTATCATTGGATCGAGCGGCTCCATCCCATGGAAAAAGTGGAGCGCCGGATCTTTACGGCACCAACTGACAGTATCGCTTTCAACGAGCTTATGACATCAGAGATTCATGTCCCCAACGAATGTGGCCTAAAATCAAGTCTTGTGACAGGAATCGGATCGGGTGGTCAGACTTCGAGGCTCGATGCTTCATTGATTGTTCGAGGGGAACGCTGGACTATGCCGCTCGCTCTCCACATAGTCCTCCGTGCCTATCCCTCAGCCTCTAAGTGCTGAATAGAAATCCACAAAACAATCCACAGCTGCTGTTGGAGCTGAAGAGTAGAGATGTTACTGTCGGGGCTTTCTTTGCAGTCGAAGAGACATTTGCTACGATCGCTACATAACTGATTAGAACGAGAAATCTCGGTCTTATTAGATTACACTCAAGGTTGCAATCTTTCCTGTAATTAATGGAGACGACACGAAAGTGGTCGGTCTCCAAACTCTCGCTGGGACCTCGACCTCGACCTCGCTGGGACCTGTCTCGCTGGGACAAAAGGAAAACAAACGAGGACCCTGTTGTGGAGTACTAGTACAAAATAACGTCTTGTTGGAGGAAGTAGTAAGTTTTTGACCCTCTTGTCGTCTATCAAGCACAAAATAGAAGCTCAGAATACTCTTTCAGAAATCAAAACTGTGTGGCAAGCCACCATGATAATCATGTAAGCGACATGTACGCGAGAACAGCCGTCCAGGCAGCAGCAAAAAGTGCTTCCACTGAGAGTTGAACTCAGGACCTCCCGCTTACTAAACGGGTGCTCTAGCCAACTGAGCTATAGAAGCTACACGTCAAAAGAGAAGTTAATTGTTATTTTAAATATAATCGGTATACATTATTTGACTCGTGTCAGCTGGACCATGCGGTCAATCTGTACCACATCCAAGTTGGATGAAAGTCCTACACACTTAAGAATACACGATCCACGTTCCCAACAATATTGCAAAGCACAACTATAATGTTGTAACTTTCTTACATAGGACAGTCGAAATTTGCTGAATCTGACATTCTAATAGAAGTGGGTGAATTGATCTGTGAGCAGCCTATGACACAGAAATCAAATCTATAAATTCAATGGGAGAATTTCCCGTCGACTTTACAAATCTGGATAATTTCCAGATCCCATTCCACTCCTTCAGCCGAGATCCTTGGAAACTTCATCGCATTGCATACATCAAATATGGATCCTAGAACTCTAGAGACTAATGCATGAAAAGGCGTGTGAAATTTCATTGTCTTCATGGCAACATTTTCTGTTTCAAGCATCAAAATCAAAACAACTAAGTTGATACTCCTACACCTTCTGTGTAAATGGTAAGTGAAGTACCAAACGTATTTCGTTGAACTTGATGTTTGCACTGCATGAGACGTGTGGATACAGAGAAATAATTTTCAGAAAAAAGTGAAATAAAGGAAGGAAGAACAGACATTTCAATTTTGTGAGTAGTGAAAATAGCAAAATACCTGAATTTCCCAATCACTCTAACAATATAAGACTTCTAGCAGGTATGTTTTGTTTATGGTCACATCCACAAAATGAACGGAACTTTCTTGCAAGGTACCATAGAATATTCCAACTTGAAGACATATCTACACTTGTGTCCTGTGGCCCAAACTATCGTAACACAATCGAAAATTCACCGGCTAGAACCGTATGAACTAGCTATGAATAAAGGAGTCACACTTTGAGAAGTAACTCTTCCATTCAGAGTAAAAAATGATCAGAATTCGAAGCATTTCCCCCAGAAGTGGATATATTTGTATACATATAATATTCCCCTGTGATGATAAGAATACGAAACAAACACTACTCACCTTTTCAACTCAGAATTGTCTCCTTAAGAAAGACAATTGCATATATTTCCTAGAAAGTGGGACCTTCCCCAGGTACTGAATCTCTGTCACTTGTTTCTACCGTTTCCTTGAGGAACTAACTGCTCACGAATCTAAGAGTCTTGACGGAATTCTATTTCTGATCCTATTTAACATGTACAATAGTCCGAAAAATGCTGCCAGTGCAATATCGTAGATTTTGGCGCAGCAAGCCTGAGGTACTCGCGAGCCTTATGCAACTCCTGAGCCGGCCATTAGCTAACTCGCACCACCAGTGATAGCAGAACGTCTGCGAAAACAATTGTTGTCTCTGCAGTGAAAGACATCCAACTTGCACTGACTTGGGATGTTTTCTCTTGTCTCCCATCTGGACTTCAACACTGGGATAACTAACTAAACCACCTCAAATAAGTTAAAAGAAAACACATTTCAGGTCACTTCTCGGCCTTACTTTCAACATTAGATGCCAGGATTTCTTTGCTGGCTTCAGCTAAAAAAGCAGCTGCTTCTTCTGCAACTGTAAGCCCGCTTGCTCTTCTTTTTGGAGTAACTCTGACACTCTCTGACACCCTATCTTGGTGCCTATTACCCTGCTTGGCTACCGCTCGAAGCTGTTTCTTTTGATCTGCAAAAGTCAGAAACTCAGTCACATGGGAAGAAGTGGGAGACAACTGGACCTGCTGGAATCATTCAGTTTATGGGTAAGATGCACATTAGTAATGCATAGGTTTATCTTCTACAGTTGCGAAACACCTCTATCAAATTAGCAATAACTAGTAGCAAAGCCTAGTCACAGGATAGATAATGCTGGAACCCACGAACCCAGCATAACGGCCGCTACGCTAGATTGTATCTCCATACTGGTGAACTATTAAATGCTCAAAGCTTTGGTTCCCTCAAATCTGGACTACCCTAAAGTACCAATGAGACAAATATTTGCTGATCTAACTGCTGTATACCTTCTGGAAGATTAGGAATTGCATGCTCAATGAACCGGTTTGCTGCACGAATATCCAAACTTGTGGTAGGTCTTTGTGGACCTGAAATATCAGAACCATCGTGAGCTGCAAACTGAAAGTCGCACTTTAGAATTTGGACAAAATTAAGCGACGAAACATCGACCAGCACACAGTTGATAAGCATCAGGAAAGCCACTGCCATCTGGATTATTTCTAAGAGAGGAAAGTTATATTTGGGCAGTAAGGAGAAAGACGACAGGTACCGAAAGTAACTCCAAAAAAATAAAACGCACTACGCAAACTGGAGACCAAGGATGAGCTTAACATGTAGGCATTGTTGCGACATGTTTTCGAACCAGTAAGTAAAATCAAATTCCCAACAATGAATGTCAAGCCCTGGGTCCCTTGATGAAGGAATAGAGCTTTAATAGCGAACTCAGCGGTGCAATTTTTTGAGCCTTTGGCTGACCTTTGGTAATCATCATCTCACTGTAAATACCTATTCAGAAACCGAACTGCTAAGCTCCAGTGATTCCAGTCTGCCCTCAAACTAACAAGAGTAATAGAGAACACTCGCCTCAAAATCAGCTCCCCAGATAGAATCAACGTACCTTTACTCCTATCGAGTGCAGCCTGAACTTTTTTGTGATATATATCATATCTATCCTGCATTCAGAATCTTCCACGATCAATATACGGAGAATGATCTATGGTGCGTTATTCAACGGTAAACGCGCAAACTTATCTCCATTGTTCCTGTCCGTTGATTAATAATGAAATGTGTACGAAAACTTCATGCAGGTACGAAAAGAACAAACTCGATTTCGTTTTTTCCTAAAGAAAGTGGGGTACAAGACGTGCCCTTCCCTCTCTAAAATCTACAATTTTGGGTTTGCTTCTTACAATAATTATCAAAGAATTCTTGTTTACTACAACGGTGACGTAACCATGATATCACAAGCATACGGATGACAGGGGAGAAATATCTTAGACTGAATGCTAGTTCTCAAACATGGTACAGAATGTACTTCCTTCGCAAGCCAAATGTTTAAACACATGATGTATGCTCAACGGGAGAGTAACATGAACATAGTTCTGTTTCACACACTAGTTACAAGAAATTACTAAATCAACTCCAGACCAGAAGTGTCAATATTAGAACAAGGATAAGGACCAGGAGATTAAAGGACCGGCTCTATATCAGAAGACATTGAGTTCAAAAATACAGACTATTTGTACCTTTAGTGGTTGTGATTTTCACCTCTTCTTGCAAGATTTTATGAAGTGTGCAATCTGGTTGCTTATATTTTAGCAGAAAATACTTGGATATTCCTCAGCCGGACTCCTACAGTAAACAGCTTATGATTCCCTTCAGTGTACCCGGAGTAATTATTGAAAGTTGAATTCTGATACAAACAATTCATGGTAAACTTCGGCATTTATCGTAGTATCTGGAAGTTTCCTAGTGCTGACAACTAAACACTCAATTCCATAAGAGTGCCACTGAGCACGCACCAATTCGCCCCGTGCATTATGCTCGTCTGGATTCACACCATCCGTTTTCAACTGCACTGAACAAAGAAAGCAAAGTAGAATAAAAAACTTGGTGAAGAAAATTATCAGTGACATACCAGCTTGAATCTCCTACTCTGGCATTCACTAAGAGAATAAATCCAAGCTCGTAGAACCAAGAGCAACGTAACTCATACTTTCAATAACTACACGCATGCATATTCCAAGCATCCTACTATCTTCACATTTGTAGAAATTCCTTAAGTAGCCCTCCCGACGTTCAATTGTCTTATAGCGTGACAATGAGGCCCTACGGTTTCCACCGCTGCCTTCGGTCAGCTCTACATATTCAACCTGAGAAAGTAGCATCCTACTATCTTCAGATTCGTAGAAATTCTTTAAGTAACCCTCCCGACGTGCAATTGTCTTATAGCGTGACACTGAGGCCCTACGGTTTCCACCGATGCCTTCCGTCAGCCCTACACATTCAACCTGAGAAAGTAATGACTTTGGAACTGTTAAAAAGTTATGGTGAACTCATCAGTCCGACTAGCAGGCTCTTCACATGTGATCTTCAGCTCATGATAACGGATGAACTAGTTGTTGATCTTGATTACTTACACGTGGATTCAAACCTTCGAACAAATGGGACTAGCACTAAAATAATTATTGGAAAAGAGGAATGTGTTTTCAACCCAAAAACCAAACAAACGGACTGAACATTTCATAATGAGCAAGAAAACTTACAGCAGAAAAGCGTGTTGACAGTTTTCGAAAGCAGAAGGAACGCAGAAGCTTGCTCTACGGGCGTCAACTGATCCATGACTTCACGGGTGTAGATCGGAAGCAATATGTTCAGCTGCTCCTCAACTTTCTGAAGTGCCTTGTCCACATTACTGACATTTACCAAAACTTCCTTTGGGAGCAATGTTGTGTCCGTCATGATTAATGGTATCAAATAGCGGCTCGTTAGAGGCGAAGTGCTCCAACGCGATCAATTTTTTGCAACCCCGGTACAGTGAAATAGCACAAAATATGTTCCAAAATTACCTGTATAACGCTTCCATGGATTCAATACACAGTTAATGATCAAATAAGAGTCTACATCCATCTCCATACTACCTAGATTGCGCCGCTGTTTCTGTACTAGAAAAAATAGGTCAACATCAGCAGCAAAGACTCTGCTCGTAGAACTACGCGACTGGAGAAAGCCAGTGGTATCAAAGACCCAGCTCTCTCAACGCATAGAGGCCAATTCCAGAAGGAGAAAAACTTCCTGAAGCTGAAATCTTCAATATTCCCTCAATGCTCACGAAAATCCAAGTCGCTTCAGAAATCTTCGAACTGAACTCCGACAGAAATCTGCCCTCTGATTTGCATGTGGAGCTCTACTGGCAATCATGATTCCAAAATATCACAGCCAGCATAATTCCAAACTACTTCGCCATCCAAAATGCTGGACAAAATCTCAAAACTCACTTGATTCTGACGTGACGACGACTCGTGCGAAATTGCAATTCGCCTCCACTCTGATCCTACTCTGCTACTCTGCGCTGCCTTCAAATGTGGATGACGTCATATTCAATTGTGAAGGAACTTCCGTCCGTTCCTTCGTTCATAGTCCGTGGTTGAGTTGCGTATCTCTAACCTATGATGACCTGTACTGCAACTGCAACCGCGGTAGCATCGCGGAGGACAGATGCTTCAGCGGACGACGTGGTTGCCATGAAACTCCACAGCCACGAGGCCAAGTCTGAGCACAAGGAACGAAATCCGAAGCTCGACAAGAATATAAGGAAAGAACTCCCACATTCTAAATCAAAGAAGAAATTGTGTAAGTATTATCAATTCATTCATGCAATTTCTCAAGAGCCTTCATGACCAACTAGGCAGCCACCAGGTTAAAATGTAACAACGCCTAGCGGTTCATTGGTTATTGGACTTAAAAGAGCAATACATAGAATGATTATATTTATTTTAAAATTTTCAAAATATTATTTTATTGATGTATTTGACATATATTAGACGTGGTATTAGATATCCAATATATCTAATACTGTACCAAGATTTTAAAGTATCATATCTTCCATGGCGGATCGGCTGATGGGTATTCCCTTGCTCTTTGCTATGCTGCTTCAAATTTCTTTGGTAACCACAGTACAGCCGGCGAAGTTGAGGTGGCACGGAGGGAACTTACTGCAGTCAGTCACTGCTGTCTGTGGAGTGGTGTGTTTCGACTGAGCACGAGAGAACGTCTCGTAGCCCCGCCTGCGATCGATCAGGTTGCTGAAGGAGCCGGAGGAAATCGATGTGATGATTCGAACGGGCTCCGGGAAGTGAGTGACTTTTGACGTCAAGCAGCTGCGGGAGGAGAATTGGAGCTCGGGGTTAATCGGATGGCCAGCATATATAATCTGTTCGTTATCAACAAGTCCGGAGGCTTGATATTTTACAAGGTGCGATGGCATGGTTTCGTCTCGTGCTTGATGTGGATCGGTGCTTGTGTTCAACTCGATCCCCGGCTGCCGATTGGGAAATCTTCGAGTGATAGGTTTTTGTTAGATGGCATGACGCAATTTCGCTTCTGGTTTGTTGGGGACTGGAATCTAAAAGAATGAATGCATGAATAGCAGGATTATGGATCCACCGGGCGGCTGGACACCAATGACAGCTTGCGATTAGCTAGTCTTTGGCATTCGATGCATGCGATTTCTATCCAGCTTTCTCCGACCCTCGGTTGCACGGGGATCGAGGTTTTGGAAGCTGATACCTTCGATCTTCACTGCTTCCAGTCACTGACAGGTATGACATCCAGCACTCTCGCCCGGCAATTGCACACCGCTCGTTTTTTATGTTCGGTTGAAGCTCTGTGCATTTTCCACATGGACTGGTTTCACCCTCTTGCAGTTGATCCGGCATCTGTGGTGGAAATTGCCCTGGCTTCACTAAATCAGAGTCAACTTTGTGGTTCGAAGTTTAGGGTTCTCAATCAAAACCGCAGAAGTGAACATCTGTCTTCACTGAATTTTGCAAATTGCAAACTGCAAAATGTACCAGTTTGCAACGCGGAGCTATGAGAAGTATGTAGGTTACATTGGTATCAAGAATACAGAAGAAGAGAAATAGTTTTATCTCCCGTCCAATGTGAATACTGGAGCCCGAACTGTTTTGACGTATAGTAAGTTTCCGTTAACTTCATCATTCGAATTGAGCTGTGAGCACACTTTCTTTGCGGTGAGGCCTTCCTGAGGCTTCGTTGTCTTCTCAGAGTAAATTGGTGCGAAGAGCTAGTGCTCCTGTTTCGCAGACCAGTGTCAGGAGATAATGGTTCTAGCCGCTTGCTCTCTCATTCGGGTCAGCGAATGAGGTCTTCTCCACGTTTTTTTGGTTCTAATTACCTTTTTTCATCAGCCTGAATGATGTATGACTACTGACCCAAATTTTGAATGGACCGGTTTTACTGACTTCGGACTTTCCCATACTTGTGCAGGCACGAAGCTTTTCGTTGCTTCAGAGCCGGGGGCGGCAGGCGTGACTGCTTTGCTTAAGACTATTTACGAGCTCTATGCAGATTATGTTTTGAAGAATCCGTTCTACGAGGTGGAGATGCCGATCAGATGTGAGCTGTTTGAGCTGAACTTGCTGCAAGCAATTCGCAAGGACAAGTATTCCGTTGGAAACCGATGAGAACGGCCTCTATCAACATTGCATCTTCTCCCTCAGATCTGAACTGCATGAGAAACGAGATTCTTGTCCGGAGTAAACATGTAATATACTTGAAGAAGAGCAGCAGCTTCATAGGATCCATAATTCCTTCCACATTGTTACATTTCTGGATTTTGTAGTAGCATTAGAACCTCCTCCTTGTCCACTCTTCCGAATCCGAGTTGTACAGCTCTGTAGCCCTGAATCACAAATTGATTAAAGATTTCGTGAGAGCCTGAGTCTACAGGTCGCCATATGACCTTTATAGAGCTTATGCTTTGAACGACGTAAGAAGTTCACAAACCTGGCATTTCATTTTCGGTAGTCTTTCAAGTTTCTAATGTGTTCGTAGTCGGCACTGATTTATCATCAGATACTTCTCATCATGGAATAGCTACTATAGCACTCTCTGTGAGCACTAATACGATGCAGGTTCTACAAAGAACACTGGGTAGCCAGAACAGCGGCCACGATGTTTTAAACATTCAAAAGTAGGAAGGCAACTCCCGTCGTACGTTACTATTGTAAGTTGTGAACAAAAGGAACTTTGCGAGGAAACACTTATGGGTGCCTGTACATTTACGATGTTTACTTTTGAGTACTTCCCTATTTTTTATCATCAATAATACTTTCTGTTGTCTGTTTGATACTAGGAATGAAGCCGAAAGAACATAGAGAAAACGTTGGTAATGCTCCGTAAGGTAGTATGAGGATACTTTAAGTGGGAGGATGGATCTAGACACGAATACCAACAATGATGAGCATTCGGTCCTACTTCACATCTCTCTAAGTACAACTAACAAGAAGCATACTATTTACATGTCTAAGTACAACTAACTGAAAATATATTTTATGAACAATTCAAGTGGCGAATATGTAAGGTTATCGCACTCTCACGGAATGCATAAGCGGTTACTCTACAGTATACTGCACAATGTGCTCAAAGTAGTGAAATCTCAATGTCGTCTAGTGATGCCACGAGAAGTGCAATCACGCGAGAATAACCCTCAAGGTGAACCTTTTTTTTTCTTTTTCTTTTTACAATTAATTCCAAGATTATATAATAAAAAGTTCATATCTCTGATGTGTGACAACCTTATGAGAATAAGGTCGTAATATAACAGAAGATGATGTTAGCAATGAAAATGCACATTCCAAGGTGAAAGATTAAACTTGGTAGTTCGTAAATTTCAAAGTGTCATGAACCATGACGCTTTGAATGACAACAATGTAAACACAGAAGTACCGTACGAGGCTAACCAAGAATCTACCAGCATGTCTAACCTTTTCAATAATGATTTTGTAAGTGAAAGCTGACATTCTCACTTCTGCTTTGTTAACACCTCTTAACGCTAATGCTTATCCCTAAGGCAAAAAGTTCTCCTATTGATATTACGACATTCCACAACACAAACCATATGGAATTCTAGTAGTGCTTTAATATCCATTGCTACCACCTCACAAGTTCTCTATGTGATCACTACAAGGTGGTGTGAACAAAGGTGCAGCTAAAAATGAAAATTTTAATTTTAATTTTAAATTTTAAATTTTAAATTTAAGTTTTTAATCTCTGTGTCTTTTCCAATAATTGGAAGTCAGCTAGAACCTACCATCTTGTTAGCAACCAAGGTGCTAGATTTTAACAATATGGATATTTTCGTCTGTGGTAACTGATGCAACCACCTAGAACAACTTCATAAAACCTATAGTCTTCAATTCTATGTTATTATCTTTACCAAATCTAACAAGCCCCGAGAAGATACACATGATGTTGGGCATGGAGAAATAGCAGAAAGCTATTAAGACATATAGCTATACCAGCTTATTTTCATATATTCAAAATTACCTTAGTTTGAAAAGTTTGTTTTGAAACCTCTCTAAACCAACAAAAATACTTCTTCCTTCATACTTTGATACTTGAAAAATACTATACAGGAAAGATATTCAAATAAGTGCAACCATTTACAAAGCATGAAAGCCTTGTGCAACTTTGCTATACTTCGTAGCATACCCAAACTATATACCCTAAACGATCAAGAGAACCTATATGTGTAGAGTTCAGAGTGTGTCACATGCTTCATACATCCAACATAATCATGATGAGGTTTCCTACACACTATTTATTATTTCGCGAAACATGTTTGGAAATTATTTAGTTTTTCCATTTATTTAGGGAGGGGCTAGTTATCACTCACTTAACTCTAATTATCCTTCACCTTCAAAAGAGATATATTTGATTGGTCGATACCATCCAAGGATAGATTAATCGGACGTTATAGTCTTCGCGCGCAGAGTGAAACTGGGAGAAATAATGCTAAAAATAGTAAAATTAGTCAACGATAAATTAGCGTTAAGTGAGGGATAAGTAACGGTTCCCTTTATTTATTTCCAGCATGACAATATGTATATTAAGAAAAGAATGGGACCAATTCGTATTTAATTATCTCATCATCTTAAGTTACCAACTCTTGGTTAGTTCTGTTTATCGTTTTGGTCTCCTATATTTTCTCTAGCTAAAGTCTTAAAGTGCAGAGCTGGTATCTCATTGAATAGCTCCATCATTGCCGTACCTGCATTTACTTGTAGTCCTAGCTCTTCGGTAAGTCTGGCTTGCCACACTTTGATTACATCCTACCGTCTTAGTTTTCTATCTCTTTTCACATACTACTCTCCCTCCTATTATTAGATAATTTCATATTTCTTGCAGACGTTGTTGCAAGCAATTGGGACTCTGTTATTCTTTCTTTCTTTCAATACACCCAGAATTTCCTCTTGGAGAGCTCGGGTCTGTTCGTCGTTCCGTTCCACCCCTCTCTTGATTCCTCTCCTCTGGGTCCACTTCAGTATTTCGCACTCCGGTAGACACATGCTCCATGGATATGTCTTTCCCACATCGTTCGCATTATAGCTTCATCAGTACCAAGTTTCTTAATCTTCTAGATGTTGCATTTGTATACTATGTAATATATGGTATAAAAATATTTGCATAAATTTGTAGGAACTTCTAGCATTCAAAGGCAATCATGCCAGTACAATAGCAAACAGGATCCTTCACCGATGAAAAAAATGGGTTAGGATGGGGCTAGTGGCATTACAGTGCGAAATATCTTTTACTGATCGTAAGATATCTGCATTAACATCAATATGTAATAGAAACGATTTCAGAAATCTCTCTATGTTGATTAGCTCTGAGACTGAACATGACAAGGAATATGTAACAGAAAGAAAGAAATTCAGAGCTCTTTGAAAGAACACACTCACGTTTACACGACACAACATCGTAAATGCACCAATTGGCTTTAAGGAAAAAAGCTAAGTCATCTAATTACAAAACTGTTCCCCACTGCCGTATGCCTATCCTTGCATTCAACGCATAGAATCTATCCTGGCAAGCTCATTGTAAAGGACAAGAAAATGAGGGCCTGCTGGGTAAGAAGGATAGACAAGACTCAGTGAAGAGTATCTCTCCTGTAGTGGGATACATTTCCGCAACATAGAAGAGAATTGCTTAGTATTCAAGCATTGTCTGATGCGTGGAACAACCAAAAAGCATTAAAAACTTCTCTACCTCTCGGCCAAAGGGGTCCTTCACCAGCAAGTTGACTTCGAAAAATCAGAAACACAACAATTCACACTAAGACCTCAAATCGGAATCAAGATTGAATAAATAATTTTAGACTTAAATAAATATATATACAAGTGTGATAATTTACAAACCCCACAAAGGGTAATTTCTCAGAAAGTTCCTCCTGGACGAATGAACGGTAGGATAGGAACGGTCTAATTGGCAAATAATGTGAAACTTTGGACCTAAGTATCTAAACCCATCACCTCCAAGCCAGCCGACATTTCAAACCTCAGCTCAGATTCGCTCCTTATCAGGGCTCAGTATCCCTGATGGTGTTCCCTTCTACCTCTTCCCATAGTTTGAGCCGTCTCTAGACGCAGACAAGAAAAGTGTTCCTCTACGTCCCGATTTCGCGAACCTGCGTGCACTGCCACATCATCCACTAAGAAAGTCTTCTTGTAGTCCGACGAGAGAGGTCAAACCACAGGTAATGATCGTATCAAGGTTGATGCCTATGTATCAAAGAGATCTCGTCATACACATATGCAAAGGCTTATGGGCTTATATGTGATAAACTTAAACAAGACTGGTAGAATTTAGACCACATCTTTCGTGGTGTGATGTAACAAGATTGTGCTAGAAATGGAAGAAATGAAACTCGGATGGTTTTATAACAGGAACTCAAGTAAAACGAGTAAATGTTGGCTACAGTGCTTACCTGCAGATAATCAGCTCGCCACCACATGAACCTGAGAGCCCGTTGGAGGAAGCATACACGAGTACGTTATATACTTCACACTATCCACCAGAACAACCACAAAGATTTGAGACAAGCCTTTTGCTGGCCCTCCCCCAGTCCTGCTGTCTTCTGCAGAAACATCTTGAGGTCCCGTGAAGACGGACACTACCATCGTTGAGGCATCATGACCTTCCGTGTCAGACTGTTGTCCTTTGAAAACTTTGTCCACGACTGGCTCTGTTCCATTCCCGTCTTGTCTCCGAATAGGAGGTAGAGGGACAGCATAAGGATCTCTCTTCTTACGGGTAGAAGGCTCCTCAGTAGTCTTTGCAGAAGTCTTTTCTTCACGAACACCGCTGACTTGATCTTCTGCTACAGAGCTTGAACCTCTAGAGGTCTCTGTATTTGGTGCAGTCCTTGTTGGTGAAGTATCAAAGCGGAAAACTTCTGTGCACATCCCTGTGCTCAGAACAGGCCCTGTAGACAAAGTGCGAATTCACAATTTAGTAACGAAAACCTTAAATCTCCAGTAGTGTCTGACGCTCAATCTCCCAGGTTATTAAAAAGCATGAAGCCAATTTGGATACCAGCTTACGCCGTTAGTAGGTGCAGTAAGTCACCAGAGGTGTTCCATAGCATAGGTATTTACTTCATGAACATGACCCTCCGCCGTTGAAACGTGCATACCTTTTCTCGCCTTGAGCAGGCAGCGCCATTATCTCCCTTTTGCAGCTCAAGTTCCCATTTACATTTTGTGCTTCTTCTTGGTTTAGAAGGGAAATTGTGACACACAGTGCCCATTGAAATAGACTCAGTAGTTGAAAGACATCCACAAGTCTTCGGGTTCATACTCTTGTCATGTTGGCTTATCATTTCAGTTATATTCAAGCTTCTTTACTAGAAAGAACACAAGGATCTTTGTCAGTTTGCTCAACTTCCGCTGACCTATAAAACCTCTTGCATCAGTAACCCATCTACCCACTAAAACTTTAAAACAGAGAAGTCCAGAAGGATCTTGACGGATGGTACATATCAAATGCAAGTAATGAAGTTTTACAATGCCTCAACTTTTTGTACCATGAGCAACAGAATTGCAGATAACACTGGTTCAACGCTACACTTTAGAGCAGTAAACTATGACTTGTTGATGGCAATGTCTAATTCATTCCGTATAAATTTACGTCTATAGATCAGGTACAGCTTAATCGTGGAATTTTTCTTTATTGAACATTAGGCAAGAAAACTTCGATACATCCTCTACTTGGACTAAACTTCTGACCCTGGGTTAAATGGGAACAATTGGAACATTCATTGATCAAACGAAAACTATGGAGATCTTCGCCCCAGAAGAGATTAGTACCTGGATGGTAATCATCCAGAACCCACTGCTGCAAGTTTCCAACCATGGGCTTGGGGGACGGTCTGTTGCGACCATGTACAGTTGTTTGAGTGACACGAAAAGCTCTCTGGTTTTCGAGAGGTATTCCATACCTCTCCATCACAACTGTTTGGAGAGTACTTTTTGCCTTCTTCAGCACTAGCACGTGACACAAAGGGGAATTCAGGAAATCTACAGTTTGAGATAACTATCAGGAAAGATAATCAATATCTCCTTTTCCTCGCAGACATCAAAACATAACAGCTTTTTTTCAACTGTAGATTGAGCGTTTGTCTTTTCTGACCTTAAGAGCTAGGTAAAATAACAAAGAATGGGATCCACGACGCAAACCTTCAGCAGACCAGATAAAGTAGTTATAGTAGTTCACGAGTAAAAGGTATGCAGACTCCACTCTCTTCTTTCCGATGTTACCATGTTCTAATATGAAAGTTTTAATCAACTCAGCACTCACCAACAAATTCCAGACTGAAAATACTGTAGAGGCGAAAGTTTCTCATGCAGGTAGTTGACAAATCAAAGATGCTAGGTTTAATTTCTAATATGTCTTGATTAAGTAGTCCGTTGTATGAAGGCTCTCAGTATCCTATCCAATATGTTCTCGCATATCTGTTAACAATACACGTTTGTTCTTGTCATAGTGAACCTAAAATGTGCTAGGCAGAAAGACGTCGATAAAAATTCCTCCTGCACATGGTTCGGATGCTTCCATTGAAGTATTTTCTACTCCACTTAATATGTGGGCAAGGAGAACTAAGGAAGTTATTCAGAAAGAAATTGTACAGGAGAAAGGGTGAAACACAACCTACCCGTGCAACGTTGTTTAGCACTCGATTGGGGATTGAAAGCACTTAATGTCAAGGTTCATACTCGTACTGTCACCAACAACTTCGTACTTAACCCATGGTCTATGTCTGCAAGTATGATTAGTGTCTACATACCCAGGAATATCCACCAGGGGGTCCAGTAAATAAAGCCAGGAGTCTTCCTTGTCTTTGTTGTTTGAATTTTCTGTACCAATGGGTATAGGATGCAAGCGGATGGACACACTGGTGGTGTTCAGCATAGTGCTTTCCCACCGAAGCTGGCATACGCAAACGTGACTCTGGTTGTTGACTAGTAAGTGAGCACCCTGCAGGTTCTCTTTTGGGTCTATCAGCAAGCAAAACTCCGAAGTCCGCGACCTGAGGCCTCCTACTGTACTCGGGAAAGTCCCACTGCACTGTAATAAGCGTCTGCATCTATCGTACCTTTTGTACTTGAATTTCTCACCCAGAGATATAGGTCTCTCCAGGAATTCATGGAAACCGAAAGTTACGTTCAAGGCATACGGAACATGGGGACCAGCTTCGCAAGAATCAGGCGCTAGCCAGGTCTTGTTTCTGGGGTCACCCTGGTCTACAAATGATCTCCAGCCAGACGATGGCGGAAGGATAGTGAAGACCACTTCCGGGTGCAGACCTACTTGTATAGTACCTTTTCCAGGCGAGCTAGCCGTAAATACGGTCCTTTCGTTATGCACAAATTCCTGATCCTTACTAGTATCGGTAAATTCAAAGCCAATTGCTGCGCACATTATCTCAAATGTTTCCCAATCAATCGAAAGGTCTTTCAGACCTTACATGTAAGACACCAATTCCGAGAACAGATACGACCATCACCGTCAGTATTGTAACGTACTAAGAAACAGATGGGCAACAAGGTCTAAAGCGATCTCCTTTGCAAACACTTTCGTTGTGATTAGACTCCAACAGTCGTTTATCAGCATCCACACTAAATCAATCTGATAGAGCCCATTTGAGGTACCTCCAAGAGGGCCTTTCCTATTGGAAGGAGGGGACGCAATTACGCATGATGCTGTAGAAGTCTAGGGTCAGGAAAGAACTATAAATGATGAAAGGTACTGAAGTTCGATCGAGTGCGAAGTAAAACACGCACCCTAGCGATCTTCCACACATGGACGTCGGGATATGATGTACAGCACTGTGTGATAGAAAGGGTGATGGACTAGGAAAAGAAAGCCAAACGAAACTGAAAATCAGAGATGTAAACCCAACAGAAACCTGTAGAGTGTATGGACTTTTCATGTGGTACCAGTGAATGATGTGAAGATTCAACTTCCTAGAAGTTAATAACAGAAACGACGGAAATAAACTCGTTGCAGAAATTTAGGAATAAGATTCTGACCAAAGGTTGTCGAATTGGAGCCAAGTTTTTGCGAGAAGTAGATAAGACGTATCGAGAATTTAGCAGAATAAGGCATCCAAGACATCCAACAGATAATACAATACTTGTCATGAAGAGAAACAGTAACTATCGAAGGATTACCAAGGTGTTCTTGGCCTGAAAGGTGAGTATTACCTGCAAGGCTTCCCAACACAAGCTGAGAAAAAGTCGGAGTTGCAGAAACAGAGGCCAAGGCATCGCTCTTGTACGCAGGTTTCTGAACATTTTTGTCCTCGCGAATAGCACCAACGTTTCTGCTCTGTCTTTCCCCGACAACGATTCCTCCTCCTTCCTGAGCTTGAGTCGATATGGCTTTGATGAGCCTGTGATCAGCAGGTGTAGGAGGTGAACGGCTACTCCTGGACAGATCTTGTTTGACCTGACCTCTCCCATTCTCTCCCTCCTGACTTGAATGTTCCTCCTTTCCAGAGTCCTCTGCGGCCTTGTCCCCAGCCATCACAGCTCTGATAATAAGATTACCATCGACCTTGATAAGCCTGTTATTCCTCGGAACAATCAAGGAGACTTGCTCGCTCACATTCGTAGCCACAAGTTTCTCTACGAGATTTGGAGCAGTTCGTGGCTCATCACGACGACTGTAGCACTCTGAGCAGGATTGCCAAACCCTTTCTGTGCCGGCCGAGAAATTCCTCCTCAAAATGTTCCCATTCCGCCTATCAATCCTACTCCTCGCTCTACCACCCACGCCATTCCTACCACCAGCACCCGCAGAGTTCACATGCCCTATGTTCCCTCCCCCACCGTCGGCCCAGGGTTCCCTGGGGGTCATGTTCCTCAAGTCTTCTACACCCTCCTCGTTCCAGCTTGTGAGCACTCTACCTCCTACCCTAATCTGAGCATTACCAACGTGGATGTGAGTAGTGCCTGAACTTACAGTACTGGATCCCCAGTCGAAGGGTCCTAACAGCATGGTAATGCAGAGCAGTCCCATGACTCCAGCGGTTGCAAGACTGGCCACTTTCTTAACCTTCTTCTTCTCACCAGGCTCCCTCGTACTTTTGGCTCGTTTCGGAGTTTTTGTCAAAGACTGTTGAGGCTTCAACCTCGGAATCGGGACAGGAGGCATAGGAGCGCCGGGATAAACAGGCCTAACAAGTCCTGGATATTGCATGATCGGCATGCCACCTGCGGGTCTCGCAGGCTGATAGAAAAAACCTAATTGCCTCCGCAAATTGACGTTCTCGGCCGTCAAGTGAGTGATGGTGGCAGTCAGCTCCGCAATAGTGGCAGCCATGGTTCTCAATCTCCCCTCCAGCTCGTCGACATACACCTTCTTCCTCTGTCGAGAAAGTTGGGCACTCTCCCGGTTCCTCATCAGCCGGGCTTGCCGTTTCTCGTCATCCTCCTCTCCCCCCAACCCATCCCCAGACTCACTCCCTTTCCTGTCAATTTCACTCTGCGCACATTGCGACTGCTGCTGCCCATTCTCTGCCTCCTCCCTCTCCCACGATCTCCGCTTACGATCGCTTCTTTCTACGCTGCCTCTCGCACCGGTGGCAATCTTCCCCACACTGGATGCCGGTTCTGCCCCACCCTTCACCTCCTGAGCTTGGATCGGAGCTTTAGACGCGTCCGGCGCAACTGCTGAAGGGTCGGTCGCACCGTAATTGGACGTCGAACTCTCCTCCTCCGAGCCATGAACCCCATCCTCCTCCAGATCTTCGTTCCCCCACCAGCAAGGCTGCACGGCACAGCTGGAAGCGCCGCTGGCCTGCGAAAGAGTGCTCTCCGGGGACCCTGCGGGATGCGGGGGTGGAGAAATTGCGGCAGCCGTAGGCAGAGGAGTTTTGTCAGTGGCGTTATGGTTTTCAGGGTAAATGTCGACGTTGGCAGAGAAGGGGCACCCTGAACTGGCACTGGCCGGGGAGCTCGAGAGGATCATCGTGGAAGGAGATACCGCTCGATTGGAGATTTGGATCCCATTCCCAATCGAACCGGGAGCGGCCGCCGGCGCGTCACTACCTGGAAGAAACTGCTGCTCAACCTCCCCGCTCGTCGTCATGGCGTTCAGATAACTCTCATCGAAGAAAAGGGACACCCAATCCTCTCCAAGATCGGCAGTTTCCACGCTGCTGTCCATCATCAGCGCGTTCTCGTCCTCAAATCCTCCCGGAATCGCCATGTCTATGGCCATCGAACTGTCATTGTTCGGATTGACCCCATTGTCAGCTTCCACCACCTCGACCTCCATCACCTCTGGACCGAAAAGCACCCGCGAAAAAATCAGTCTCTGCTCATACCGTCTCCCCGCTCTTGCACTCACAAAACCCAGACGAGAAACCGAGAAACGCGCCTCCGACGACTACTTCACGAGGTAGATTAGAAAATCTCGCCAATTGTCCCGAGCCATGGAGAAATTCTTAACGATCACGACCACGAGATCAGCATAGGGGTGCCGGCTCGACACGATTCGTCCGCTTCTTAATCTTCCCGTCCGATCTGAGCTTTCACGCTACAATCACACCGAGGGTTGATACTTCAACACTCCACGAAGCTCTCGATCGATTCACACTCCAGCAATTATGCATCCCCGATTCCTCTGAGTTTCTCGATGGCCAGCGCAATTGCCTCCCTCAAACGTCGCGCCCGTCTGCAAGGGGCTCGTCTGGCTCCGCTCTCCCCGGCCGTCGGATTCGGTATCCGACGTCTGCCGTAGCATGCCTTCCTCGAAGCCGGCACGGCCGACGACCGAAACGTCGCTCCGAAGGACCCGCTGTTCTCATGTGAGCTCCCTCGTTTCTCTTCGTCGGCAGCTCTTCGTCCTTCCTATAAATTCGTCTCACTATGCGATTTTATTTTGAAATTTTCGATAATCTGTTCAACCCTTAGCTTCTCGTCCATCGTGGAAGTTTCCAAAGACTTTTATAAGAATAACGAAGCCTTTCATTTCATTTTAATTGCCACCATCCTTATCCGGATGAAAAAATACTTAGTTCTCGGTCTTCAAAATATACGTAAAATAAACTTTTAAAAAAACCGTCCCGAACTCCGAATAATTGACCTGGGCAAAAACCCATGTCCAACCAAAACAGGGCATTTGGAAGTCACGGCCTTGGAAGTAACACGTGTCTCACCCGGAATGACGCCCGGTCTCCCGGTTTGTTTGGGCTTAGGGCTTCCCAGATTTTCCTCCTCGATTCGGAGCTGCAAAGTCCTGGAGGGTATTTTTGGAAATGGTAAGATTTTGGGACACGTTTTTGACGTGACTCGCTCTTCCTGTCTCAGCCACAGGTCGTCCCGTACACCACGAGCTTGCGGAACCACCGGATTTAGAATAAGAGAGAGGCGGGGAGAGGAAGGAGAAGACTATCTTGTCTTATACTGTCCATTCAGCTCATCGGCGTCAGAATCGGATCCCTCGTTGCCGCACCATGACGACGAAGAGAACGAAGACTCTGCGACCCATGAAAAAGGTCGGTTCCACTCTTGGATTCCAAGGTCAACACTGCAACAATTCAACTCTTTAGCCAACCTGACCAAAGTATGGCTCCTTTGATGTGCACGAAGGTTGTTTGCTATTGAGGGAGTCATGATTGTGCATTCATGCCTCCCTCTTGCAGTTATGTTGGCCCTCAATAATTGGTTCCCGATTGTGGATACGTTGTGCTTTACTTCCCAAATGGAGTAGGTGTTCAGTTGACTCTTTCACCTTTTGGATGTCACTCGATAGTCAATCTTGATTATATTAGAGATAAGCTACGTAATATAACGTGGAACATTTCGAATTACATGTTGTCAACCAGGTTTTATAAATACCTAATCTTAGTTATGGACCGTAACTAAGTAACATGTTGATCCAGTCAGAACAGAACATAGAAGTACCAAGTAAATACGAATATAAATTCACATCAGTCTTTTTAAGAAATGTTTTAAATGGTAGAATCTTAAGTGACTTTATACAAATCACAAAATAAAATATATCATGCAAAGTTCAAGCTATTTGAACAATATCAAATAACATGAACATAATTTAAAACATGTTGGAGTGTATACATGAACAGATTTGTACTCTCACTGTAAATGCAAATAAAAAAATTTTATAAACTAACAATTTCAATAGGTTGTGGTTTAGTAACGTTATACAAAATTTTTATTTGGAATAAACGGTCACTCTTTATACCCTCTAGACATAAAATGGAGCACAAGCAACGAATGGTTTGTATCACATGATGTATAAGTCCAGATGTTTTATGCATTTATAATTATAGGCCTAGATGGATCTTTATATTGACAGTAAACTTTTTCTACAATAATTCACACAGTAAATATGCAGTGCACCTCAAAGAAACTTCATGCAATGAACACGTACAGTTCTTCATTGTCAATCTTAATTCAGATTATAGAAGTATTTTGCTAGCTTTTTCATATATTTTGAGTTAAACTAATTTCATTGATCATAATCAGTATTAGTAAGTATGACCAATCAATATTGGAATTAAAATTCTGGAAAAAATATAAATCACATGTAAGTATAGACATTACACATGTTTGTGAAAGAAAAACACATCTCATGTTATTCTACTAATTCCTTAGCTTATCATACAAAATAATGTATTTGAGATGTATAAATCATTATACATTGAGCATTATGTTATAATTTTAGAGCAAAAGAAATTTTCTCTTTCTTCCAATGATATGTAATCCAATGTTCTTATTTTAAAAATGTTGTGAAGTAATATCCATCGTATGCACAAAAGAGAATAATATGTGATGTACCTTTATGTCTTTAGGTTGTTGTAATCAACATACATTGAAATTTTAAATGGGACATTATTTGATGTATGCACAGAAAAAAAACCATGTTATAAGATGAATTTGAATATTTATTTTTTATATACATATAGATGTAAATAGATCACATGTTTTCATAATATATATATAGACATCAATGAAATTACCAAAGATGAAACATGCCCAGGCCTCTGCTAACTTGGCATTTGCCAAATTTGTCATAACTTAGTCTATTATGGCATCAGCCAATTTTTATTTACGACAAATATGACACTAATTTTAATTTGCTTTAATTGCTTATAATGTATGCTTACTAGAGTGACAATATCATTAAGTAAGATATATACTCATCTTTCTCTTAGCTAATCATGGAGAAATCACCCTCCACACACGTAGTTTCAGGATAAACATTAGCAAAGCTTCCAACAAAAATACACAGTTTGGAAAATCTAAGTTCAAAAGTAATCCATGCTTCATCAAATTACACGGATTCTGGCATTTGATCTATTGTTTTGCAGAGTATATCTTCTCTTTCTCATTCTATCAATGAATATATTCTCAATTTTGAGATCAAATAAAAGGGAGTAGAATTGTGTTGACTATGTTTACGTTATTATTCAAACCCAATTGATCATAGGACTCAACAAAATGAGGAGGACAATAAAGGAGGAGGAGATCAAAGAAAGTTCGTTTGACATGTAATTACATGATATTCACTCCATATTTGCCAAGTGTTGAATTTCAAGATGTTGTGATTCCAGCTCTAGTCAATATGGAACCTTAAAGTATTTTGTGGTTCTAGTCGGACCTTCGCTTCTGTTTGATTTTATTTTTCACCTCTCATACTTGGCAAAAGAACCGATGTAACAGACACCATAGTGTCTTCGGTCCATAGTCAAGTTCGTGAGAGAGATTAAATGGCGTTTTGTATTTCTTTGAAGACATTTCATCAACATCATCAACGGACAAGAGAGAACAAAAACGTCTTAATAGTGAACATGAGGAGAGGAGACTTGGATTTCCATTCTTATTTATGGCATTACTCAAAAATTATTCATGACAAATCTGGCACAACACCCCCAAATGCCATATTTGAACAAACCTGAACATGCGTTATGTTTCATCTTTGGAGAACTCTATTGTATCTTAGCATCATGATTGTTATTAAAACTAATCAGGCCTGCAGTATGTCCGCGACCATCGTCCTCGTGCTTGCATCATCCATTTATACCAGACCGTTATACTCCTGTCGAGGGAACACTCGTCTGCTAAACTGCGGTAACTCTATTGTATCTCAGCATCATGATTGTTATTAAAACTAATCAGGCCTGCAGTATGTCCGCGACCATCGTCCTCATGCTCGCATCATCCATTTATACCAGACCGTCATTCTCCTGTCGAGGGAACACTCGTCTGCTAAACTGCGGTAACGTGAGTACACGACGCTATAGTATCACAATGTCCAAAAACGATCTCAACTTCAGCAAGAGTTATGATCGATGTCAACGCAGTGCTCATATCATTATAATTTGTGGAGGTTAATTCTCATCCAGTTCGTTCTACAGAATGATGCACTTGTAGTTCTTCTCGTCCTCCCAAATTTGGCCATCTCATGAACATTGTGACTTATTTGAGTTGGAAACTTTACTTGATGACGCTTCAGTATGAGCAGACAGACTGCACACATCTTCTTCTTACTTCTTTACAAGGTGACGCGACCATTCACATCATCTTCATTCACGAAAGATTGGATCCAAGGAACGGAGAATCTGAAGGGTTTGAAGAGGTCAAAGGTGGATCAATATTCCCATGGAAAGCAAAGGAGAGGTGGGATTCAAATACTAGTGCACCCTTCAAAAGTGAGAGGTTGGCCACGTTGGATTCTCGATTTTATTCAACAAGGACATTCTATGCAATTCTACGATGCATATTATTTTCTTCCACGAGAGTCTTGTGTACTTTTACAATTGGTAGATGATGGGAATTTCTAGCCTAGGCATATGGGATTATCTGCTTGGATAGTCGCCCCTACGACGATCGTTTATGCCGTCGTGTAAAAACTGATTGGAATGTATTTCGATTATTAGTTGTCATCATCATGCGTCATAATGTCAATCTTGGAGTTCGATCAACTTCGATATGGATCACGTTTATAACGTCCCACGCCACTATCTCCTGCAATCATTATAATTGCGTACACATGCAAACATGACAGTTTCTTTCTTCATGAACAAATACAACTTCATAGGTTGAAAAATCTTTTCAATTGATTAATTGAACAAAAACATATTTTATATTTCAGACATGTAGATATGTGTGGATAACCGTACTAACCCATATGTAGTACTCAAATACATTTCACAGACAAGACAAGCAGGACAAGAAGCTAGACAAACTCTATTGACTCTTATTTAAATTCTAGAAGATAAGGCAATGATATCTGTCTTCTTTCAGTAATTTGTATTCGAATCAAGTGATGTACCAGAGTCAATGAGTCCGAACCATATTGTTTGATTGATAAACGACAATCAATGAAATATCCACAATACATAATACATCCCCGTCCATAGATAATTCCGTGACCAGGCCATTCATGTGCTATTTGTATATCATCCGCTGTAACCAGGCAAGTATAACACACCGACGTGCACAGATCATAATCTCTATTAAATAGTAGTCTTTTCTAATTATATGTTTTGATTTTAGTGTCAAAACCCAAAGAACAAAATCATGGATGAACTAAAATCTAATAATCATTGATAGAGACAAGTATATATACTTTATAATATTCTCAGACACAAATTGAATCAACTTTAACCAACACGTCAATATAAAGTGTTTCTTATGAGTCAAATATATCATGTGTAGTTAATGTCATACCGTGTATAGTTTTTTAGAAATCATATGTCAATAATAAAATCTTTTTACAAAGATAACTCATTTTTTCAGTCTTGAGGTATCATAACTCTGCTTGAATATTTATGTATGACTTTATCAGGTTTAAACTAACATGTATATTTCTTGTTTTGATATATTCACACCAACATGAATGTACATGAAAACCTTAATTCGTAACAATACACATAATTAGGATTGTTTCAAGAATACAGTTGATCTTGTCACATTTAATATGTGTAATCCCTTGTCAGTTGGAATTTGAGTGCGTCTTCTTCACTCTTTGAGTTTTAAACTTATTATTAGCTCATTTTATTTTCTTTGAATTCAAAGTTCCTCCCTTAACATTTGAGTAGCTTTTGCTCATACAAGTACATATTATCTTGAATAAGGCAGACAAATGGCTACAGCGAAAAGAATCTTATGATAGTGTGATGCTGTGACGAGAGATCATTAAGCTATTTCATTTTCTAGACCTGGATACCATAGACCTCGATGCCGAGAACCATCGAGCAACAACAGAGTAAAGACTGCACTGTCAATTTGACCCAGTAAATGCAATGACTTCTTTGCAGATAGCTGGGCTTGAGACCGATCTTGCATGGAAAAATATTTAGATTCTTTAAGGACCCTGGGAGGAGACTTGTGTTTCCTATCAAACCGACAGTCAACCGAACCTTCGGGTATTCCACATATTATATATGGAATATATGAATATATATTATTATTATTTTTCGAGAGTGATGTTACATATTTCATGATATTCATTCAACTTTAACTGACCGACAACTGCAAGTCGTGGGACTTCTAGAAAGACGACAGAAGTCTTTCACGGAAGTGCAGACAGATGAAAGAAAAGTACTGCTGCGAAGATCAGATTCTGGAATAAGTTCGCTATCCGGAACGACATCATGACACCGACCCGGCATCTACCCGAACCTCTAATCTGGTCAAGAAAACGCTCAACAACGACACACACATGGCCCTCCGCGTCCAACTGATTGTCTACTTCTCTTCGCATACAAAATTGCATTCCTTACTCCCTTTTACTCAACTTTACCGTCAGTTCCAAAGGTAACTCAAGCATACCAAACAATCGAACAAGGTCGGTGAGCTGTCTGGTCATGTTCTTGTGGATCCGCAAAGAGGCAGCAACAGTCCTGGGAATATGGCTTTTCCTTCCTGATTAGAGGAGCTTTGAGGTGAAGTTGGCTTCGAAGAGGCCAAATGGCGACTCCAGTCCCGCTGCCGAATCCTCTGATTGAAGGACCGAAACCATCTATCTTACTCTCGGCGTCCAATACTATTCACACACATGGACCGTGACTCTACTCCTGGACCAGTTTTTATTCCACAACGATGGATGGACAGTCCTTGGAACGCGTGGGACATCGTTAGTAGTTTAATGAAAAAGAGAAGTTATATGTCTTTCAATTTAATTGTTGTTCGGCTGTCTGTCTCTTACGTCCCGACACATTGGAGACAATCCAAAAAACTAGCGAAAGTTTCAAAGTTTTGTGTCCTGGAAACAGAATCTCGCGACGTTGAATGATATACTGCGTCGAGTATATCATCAGCGGTCGTGGCAGATCGGAGCGACTCAACAAATTCGCGACACATAATAGAAGACTGCGAATATGCAATGATGTTAGACGACCCACCCGAGAGTTGAAAAACCTTCTTGAGTAAAGTTCGAACCCAGGGTAAGATCAAGCAAAAGTGTCCAACTAAAAGATAACCAAATGAGGGGGACCCTGCAAATATTCACGTCACCTGCTGGTCGGTACTCGTAGTCTTCCAGACCATTCTGACAGATGCGGTTTAATATCCAACTGCCTCACAGTACGTCCGAGTACAGGTAGGTATTACCCGGTACGACCTGCGGACTTTGGAGCCCTCGGAAACCCGGACGAGTTTTCGCATCCCAATCCGCAGTCCCGTCTGACACGGACCCCGGGTCCCTGACGCGCTCCACCAGACAGACAGATGGCATCCCTGGGAGTGGGCCTCCTGGTCCTAGTCAGAATATGAGAGCGGGCTCACTCACACCTGGCGATAGATCAAGGGGCTCCGAGGCCGAGTGGGGTCCGTGGGGCGTCACGTGACAAGGGAGCTACCGATTGACGTGACCAGGCGTGATAAACAGTGTCCGGGTTCTTCGGACGTCTGGTAATGTAGGCACGCAGGGCAGCAGAGCGACCGGTTACTGCCAGTCATCCGATGGCGCGGGATTCCTGGCTGGCTCTCGCATGTGAAGGTTTGTTCTGTTCCGTTCGGGAAGGGCAACTCCTTTCGGCTGCACCGCTTCTTCTCCAGCTGCGCCTCGTCATCGTTATCATCGTCCCACCGCGAGCAGGCCGCGACTGCTGCTGATGGTGAATATGCCGTTGCAGAGTCAGCATATGAGGCAGCGGATTCGGGGCGGGGCGGGGCTGCTATAAGTACTGCAGTCTTGGCCGATCGAGTTGTTTAAGGATATCGTGGAGGAATTCTGGAGGTCGTCGATTTCGGAGGAAATTGAAATTTGGTGGAGGGTTACCTGAACCAGGTTGTTCTTTGTTGCTCGAGTTGTCAGATTATCGATTTCGGGCGATTGGGGTCGAGTGAGTGAGGAAGCGATGGCTGCACGAAATCTTGGAGTCTGTGTGGATCATTCGCCGGGCAGCTTTTACGCCCTAAACTGGACGATGGAGAATTTTGCCAAAGATGGGGACAATGTTTACATAATCGTTGTGAATAAGAAGAACGCTCTGGACGAGACTAAGCTTAGCTTGTGGGGAGAATCTGGGTCTCCCCCAATCCCTTTCGATGAATTCAAGGATCCGAATGTGATCAAGAACTACGGAGTGAGTCCGAGCACCGAGATTAACGGCATTGTGTCTGATAGCATTAAGAAGAAGAAGGTTAAGGTGTTCATGAAGGTCTACTTTGGAGACGCACGGGAGAAAATTACCAAAGCATTGGCGGAGATTCCTGTACATGCAGCTTTTATGGGAAGCAGAGGACTCAGCAGACTAGAGAAAGTGCTCATGGGCAGCGTGACGAATCACGTCGTAAATCACGCTGGTTGTCCGGTGACAGTTATCAAGTTACCTGGAGAAAGTCATCATTAGATTGCCGAATGCCCCGACCTCGGACTTGTATTCCGTGCAGTTTGAAACACACTTGGGACATTGCAAGAAGTCTCGAGAAAGAAACTCAGATGCCACCCTAAGCTGCGTGCAGAACCTCTTATCTGTTTGAGGAAGTTTTCCTATCTCGCTAGCACGTAAGGATGAACATCCTCATTCTGTTACTAGATATCAGACTCTCAGAGCTACTCATGCAGGGGTATAGAATCATTGTAGGTCCAATGATAGATCGATCAACTTTAATAGTTGCACCGAGCATCTTCTGTAAAGTACGATGTAACCTTTATACTACCCTCACGGTGTACAGAATAGATTTGAAACCGTCTTTATTCCGCACAGAGCATGTCGCATGTTGATTCCTCCTCACAGACTGTAATATTGTAACTCAGATTCTCAAATTTCATAGAAACTTGCAATCGATTCGCTGGTAATCGCTGGTAACCTCTTCTTCATGAGGTACATGACAGTAGTCAGGTAGTAGGTGATCACGTTGCAATTGTTGCAGAAGTGAGCACACTCATCCCGCCCACCTGGCATTCATTTTTTATTTTTTGTGAAAGGGACACTCTGTCTCATAACCCCACTTTGTTTCCGCTTACCGTCACAAGGCATGTATACCCTGATAAGCTGCATAAATTCCTGGACAGTTGGTGATGACTGGGCTCCATTATATACGCGGAGAGAATAATTCAAGTCTGACAGTGACAAGAAACGTACCCAATGTTGAGGAGAAGGTGACGATGAAAGCTACGTGACATCAATTGCAAATTACATTGCATCAGATGAAGTTCAGATCACCATAGCTCCAAATCACTCCAGTCTAAATTTTAAGTGTAATGTCACCTATTGATACTTCTAGGAGGGTACCCTAATACCTCGTCAATTCCTCACAATTAAGAAACCAAAGGAGTTTTTGTGGCTACTACCCAAAAGCATAACAATGTTGCGACTGAAAAATACCAATTACTTAGTTCATAAATTTTAGAAACGATTTCATTATCTCCAACAAATTATGAACACAGCAGTAAATAGTCTGTGTTACCTAACGCAAAGATAGATGATAAACGCTTTTGACCATTGGTTCAAATACAAGTTGAATTACCTTAATTACAACTTACATAATGTTGAAGTGTGACTGTTAGCTCTATCCGATATTTTGATTTTCGACCGCTCCTCTAGATGTCCTCGAGATATGTAAGTATCCGTATGATATATTGTCACGTAAAAATGATAACTATTTTTTCTCATACTAAGTAACATCACCACATACTTAATGAAACATTCGGAAAAACGTCTTGTAAAAATTAACGTAAAAGATACAAAATTTATTGAACATTTTCATGATTATGTATATATGATTCATGACTTCTGATCCGACTAAAACTGAAATGTGTATTGATCCCAATATCAAATACTATCCACAAAAATTTATTCCATTAATGTTATTATAAATGCTCATAAATTGATCTTCAAATTTGATCAAACATAATAGCAATATAGATTACAATGAAACCATTTGAACAAATAAGTTGGTTTGACTAATTCTAATAATTGAATCAATAAGTAAATCTCAATTATTTAAACTAAATAAAGAAACACAAATATATTTATTTTTCACTACATTGTGATTTATTAAAATCAATGGACACATTATAGAATGTGTGATATAACTATTATAAAACAGAAAAATTCAAATTATTGGCAATTTTAGATTAAGTGAGCTGATTAATGTAATGTGAGACAATAAACTTAAAATTATTCGTCACTTTTAGAAAGGTAAGATCATATGTGTATTATGAAAGAATTGAAATTCTTACTTAGTGAAAAATCATTTGTTTAATATGTAACAAACTCTTATAAATCAATTCTAGGCCTTAGGTTATATATAAGGTTATATGTATATTATATAAGGCTATCTACTTAATGTGAAGCAAGAGCTTGCTTTTATATCAAAGTACACTCTTAGAATATGTAGCATCATCTTTGTAGTTTGAAGCAAACTATTTAAGATTAAGTTTCACTCTTATAATGTGTAAGATCATCTATGTAATGTTAAAATATACAGAATTGTCCAAATAAACTCAAACTCTTATAATTTGTTGCATCATATATTCATCAATCTATGTAAAAACGTTCAAACCAACTAACTCTTTTATAATTAGTTAGATCAAATAATCATCCATCTTTGTGCAGCTCATCCACTTCGGATTTCTTAGTGCGTGTGAAATAACAAGCATAAATGCAACTGGAAATTGTATGAAACATGAGTCTTACAATGATGCCCCACATAACTTTAGATTTTTTGAATAAAATTGAAATGTATAGATTGGACTAAAACTATAAGATTTAGTTAATTAGTGAAATAATCAAAGATTTGTATACTGTGATGAACAAAATTACTGTTATGTGTATTCACAATTGAAAAAATAGAACATACAATATCGTATGATCAAAACACAAGACTAGATTAAACTGTAATGAGTCATACCATAAAATATTCCAAATTTCTTTGTGCAGTATTTTCTTCAAATTAAATTATAGTATAAAAATTACATTCTTTGAAGTATGAAATATGTGGCTAGACGTGTGAAATTTTTTTTTTACAAATTAATCGATAGTCATAATCTTTTCATTAAAAATTAATCTAAATGCATTAGTATAACTTTTTATTTTCGCAAGCATATGATCACATTACATTACTCTCTAACAAATAGAAATTGAACTAGTGACATTAATGTATTAATCCATCCCCTAGAAATGATCATCACATAATATGTGACAAATAATTTTCGTGGATACATTTTTTTAAATTTATGTGTCCATGTGCACCATTTTTTTTCCATGAAATCACTAATAGATTATAGACATGAAATGAATTGAATCTTCAAAGTTTATATGCAGATTGCATGAATTGAAGTGCGAGATGATGTATCATAACTAGTTCAAATGATTTATCAAAAGATAATGATTATTTTCTCGTCACTTCTGCAAAACTCTTATGTTTCTTTATATAAGACAGTCAAAGAGGAAATAGCAGTCTAAGAAATTAGTCATAAACAAAGGATGAAGTATAAGTTGAGCATTGTATTTTGTATAAATTCCGAAACACAGTAATTTAAATTTATATCAAGTATTATTTGTCTCAACTTCACGCACAATATGTATTGCACAAATCTCTCATGTAGCTCAATTCATTACACCTTATGTATCCAAAATATAGAGTTGATTCACCTATGTCTAAAATATATTCATCATGAAAGTAAAACCAAAATGACATGCACTCGTATGATGGATCAATTTCTAGAGAAGAAAAAATGTTTAGTTTTTATAACATATACAAGTAAGTATAATATAGATTGTTATTTAATCTGAAATTGTAGACCACTAAATATATATATTGAATGAAGCTATTTTCATGATTCAATTCAATCATTCGTTTGTTCACAACGTTAGTGTGATTAGAATGTTACAGTGGTACATACAATGATCACAATATTTAACTTAGAAAAATATTCATTTTTAAAAAATAAATTTTATTTTTCTTATATTTTTAGTAGTAAATGGTGATTACAGTTTCACATTTTAATGTATATATGTGAAGTTAGTTTTTTTTTATACTAAGAAAATTTGATTCGAATATAGAGCTTGTATTAGTAGAGTTTTAGAGTTTAGGTTTTTATTCCAAGTACTTGGAAGAAATAAAAAATTGGACTAAATGAGAAAATTTGTATAATACTTCAGTTTTTTTCGATAAAATTTTCAATTTGTTAACAGATAAGGATTAAAATAATGTACAATTTCACGTAGTAATTAACATGGGTTACGTTGTCACAAGACTACCGTCAATAGATGCTCAAAACACAATGTATTTTTCTACAGACAGCAAAAGAAGTCTCCCACATCTACGTCACTTGCAACCCACGTTGTCATAAAACATTACATTTCTACGTAATCAAACCGAAAACTAAGCTAAAATAATATATGAGACAATGACAACTTAAGATGTTTTATCGAAAACTGAAAGTACAATCTTTATACAATGTAGAAGCTCTTCTCCCTTACAAGCGGAAAACAGGAGGTCGCAAATTTGCCTTCTCTGTGATGTTCATCATACTCGACAGACAATACATGTGCACATTTTTGTCCAAGCGACAGTGAAGACTGATTGATAATTGCTATCCTTCTTCTCGATGTCTTGACAGACTTCAGAATGTAACATCCTTCGACAGAAACAGGTTTATTGCACGTCGGATGTGACTCTATATACCTTTTGTACACGGAAATTACAGCGGCAGAAATGGAATAGGCAGCCTACACGAAAGGATTCTGCTTCTTGGGCGGACTGCTGGGAACTTTTTCCTGTGCACTATTCGGAGACTGTAAATCATGATGATCTTCATCGACATGACCTGCTCCTTGCTTTGGCACCCCGGCTTTCTGTCCAGACGCACTCTCCTCCTGCTTGGACGATCGAGTGTTGACAGCGGGCGCTTTCATCTGTTACGAGAATTAAACAAGAATCAGAATCCGATATAATCTAACATCGCTGCCGACCCCACAGATATCCAGAGTTGACGGAAATCTGGACGAGAAGAAAAAATCCCACTAAAGTTCAATTCAGTTCCTTCTTTCATATTGTCTTCACGACCATCATCTCAAGACTAAGTCGACCTTAAGATGCGTTCCGTTGACTACTGTTGCAAACATAATACTAATAGCATTGCCTGAATCGGGTCTGTCTGAAACAGAGGCGGAATTAACACTTGCGTGGGTGTTCATTGAACGTGCAAGAACTTCAGCTCCCATGACACCGTTCAGCAAAAAGGAATTCATGATCAAAGACATGTTCTTCAATCCGAAATTTCTCTCCTACGGAGACAATGCGCGGCGCAAACTTCTACCTAGTTCCACAAGACGTTGCATGCTCTGTCGACGCTTGCGACGCTCTAGTCTCTTCTCAAACAATCAAATTTGCAGCACACTGATTCCCGAACGCGAAGCTCATCATGAAACAAAGCTAATCGCCTGGAGGCAAATTACAGACCTGTGGTTGGGAAGTGTTCCAGTCGCCGCTTCCATCTCCATATAATTCCGACATGTCGGCGAATGTCAAGAGCTGATACTAGTAGACGATGTAGTACCTAGTCCGCACGGGTAGAGGGATGCCTGGCGATCTGGGAATGAGAAGGAGCCAAAATGCTACTGCGAAATCAGCGAAATGTCTAAGCGTCAAAATGTACTCTGAGGCGAACTGCAAGCAAACTGATACTGAAATCATCGTGCCGGCTCGCTAGAACTTTATACGCTCCCTGCAACCGCAACCTATAATCAATGCGCCTCGTCCAGGTGCCCGCCACCGAGGCTCGATTACCAGAACCGGATCTCACACCGCTCGCAACGAGCCCTCATGATGCTCCCTCCCAGAGCTGCTGACTCATGCCTTGCGCACCAAGCGTCCAAGTGTCACCAGGGCAGCTCCGATCACCGATCGTCGAGCGCCTCCAATCGCAATCCGCTGCTGTTTTCTTTTCGGCCCCTATTTCCCTCCCTTCTTGCTCGCTCTGCTCACCCGCGCAAGAACGTACAGGCCCACTCTGCTGAGTCAGGCTCGAGATAAGACTTCAATCTAGGTGCGTCATCACCATGCTCTCCTTCCGGATTTCGGTCTTCCCCCGCAGCTTCCTGCCAAATCGGAAATCTGAATATGTCGACGAATTGTTGTGAATTGGGCGGACGAAGGCCACCGCCGTTTTTTTCTTTTCTTGCTTCCAGGCTCCAGATGATCGGTTCACTTTTCTGGCCTTTCTTCGGAAGTCGACAACACGAAGCTGTCGCCGGTCTGGCGGTCGAGCACTCGAGTCTCTAGAGGAGGAGAGCAATCGGACTCACGGGCCTCGCCGACGACACACACGCTCTTTTACGCCCCTCCTGTTCGCCAGAACCGCCACTCTCCAAGCCAGCCGGCCGGCCGGCCGGCTCGCTCGTCATGCATCCTGTTTCCCGGCGACGGTTGTGTAGTTCTCCCTGCGCATCACCCTTGTCGACGCTTCTCCTCAAGATTACCGTCTTCCACCTTTGACCTCCGATTGCGTCCCGGTGGATTGCCGGTTTTCTTTCGTTTCATTCTCCAGTCGTGATCACGTCACTTCGTTCATCGACGCACTTTACACAGCCACGTATGTGCTTTGCCTCTCCTGTCGACCGGTTGTCACCCGTACTGTACCTTTGGTCGATCCAGATCTGACCTCGAACCTTCTGTATATTAATATTCGCCGACGTATTTATACTCTTAATAACATTTCATCTCATCCGTCGATTAGAGTGATTTTAACGGCCAGGATCTACCCATAGCTCTGGCGATTTCATTCGACCCTACCAGTTCGTTACAATTACTACCTTCGCGTTACAGATTCTTTGGACAAATGCGCCGGGTGGCCCGGACGTTTTCCAGGAGATTCCGGATGCGGTGTTCGTTGACTGTGTAGCTTTTCCGTGACGGTGTGGGCGCTGAGATGGTGGCCGTGGTGCTGGAGGACAGGGCTTGTGTCTGTGCGTATAACGCAAACAATGCGTCGAAGGACACACATAAGCCTACTGCACCCGCCAGCCGCTCCCCTACTCTGGGAGCCGCAACAGTTGCCGCAACCGCATCGCGGAGTACTCAGATTGCTACGGTATGTGCGACGTAAGTCTGGCCCCCTAACCGCTGCCAGGGCCCCCAAGGGCCATACACTCCGTGGATGTCTAAATGTATTCTACCCTATGCAAATTATAACTGTGGTTCCTCCGGATCTACTCCCCGGCCCGCCTGTGGCAACGTGTCCCCTTCGCCACTTGGCCTTGACATCCACTTGTCACGTATGACTGAAAATTTTTCTGGCACGTGTATAACATAACCCCTTACGTGGTATCACGTGGACGCGCCGCCTGGTCTCTGCGGTGACCTTCAGGATCAATTGGGTAAAAATTCACGATAACTCGGTGGCCATCATTAGTCCATTTGGGTTTCTGAAGCACTGTGATAATGAAAGGACTGAAGGGTCCAACAAACGGATCCTGAAACTAAATCTAGGGTATGGAAAATTAGAAAGATTGCTCGATGATGCGGCCGCACAAGTGCAAACACCAAATGATAAGATAAGTGTAAGGTTAAAGACCAATCCATATATGTTTAACTTTGATCACGCCCTCATGGGTGTAAGAAGTGTGATACAGGATGCAAGGAAATTCAAGATTTAGGATGGAAAAGTGACTTTTCTACAACACAAATATAACATATGCAATACATGAAGTAAACATCTAAACTTCCATGCGAGAGATCTAGTTATCTGTAGCTACCCTGTGACATTATAACTAGATACTTTGGTATATGAGGAAGGATTTCTTTTGGAGTGTAAATAAAGTAAAACTTTATCATACAAATTTTCTCCTTTGTAGCTACATAAGTTATAATACAACCTTGGAAATCTTATACGAGTGATATATTCATCCTCTGTATATTTCCAACTTTGAGGGCAATATCACCGATCATAGAAGGTATACACTTTCGCACACATCCTTCGTATCAATAAGGGATCTCATAATTTACCCTAAACCCTCCAGTGAAGTCTCATAATATGTTTCATGGGTAACGTGATAAACATACAAGAAATCTTGAAAAGGCACCACGTAGATTTCATGGTTTGTTTACCAATCCCACACGATTTTTGCCAATATACAAACTTCGGTAAAAGAAGATATAATATTCAGATTTGGAGTACAAGAGAGCGAACAACCTTAGAAAATATTATACTTTTCTTAAGACATGGTATGTAATTCAACTCTCAAATGGGGTCAAGTGGATGACAATAAAAAATATATTCTATATTTCCATGTAAGAAGCGCTTATCCTTATGTGTAACTTAAACATCTTATCGAAGAAGAACTGCTCGTACAATAAATAATCGTTTTTTTTTAAACTCATTCGATTGTGACGAAAGTCATGTACGAATTTCTTACAAAACCAAGTGTATGCCTTCTGCTTGTCTATTTTATGATGTACAGACTTATCATAAGAATCGTACGAGTCAGTTGAATACTCTTATACCTTGGGCTGGACCGCTCTAATGTTAAGTAATTTTTCTAGATTCACGTAATTTCAAATCATCCGGAAAGAACTTATTTGATCGGGGACTCTCCCTGGTAAAGCTCAAATCCTGTCCATGACTTCATGATCTTTGATCCTGAAACCCCCAATTTTACAGATATGTAATACAGCTCTCTCTGACTCTCTTTTAATAAGTTAGATTGTGCTGCCATTACAGTTACAGTTTGAGTAAAACTCGATCCATGTCCTTATGATATAGTAATGACAACTTGCACAATATGGGATCCATCCCTCCGTGCTGAGCGACCGCAGATATCGCAACGACATAAAAAACTCGTAAATCCCATCGTAGGTCGACACATTTATTGATTAGACGTAGACATGTCAGACATATTTTCATTAAAAATCGCATTGCTGTAGGCAAAGGTGTGCAGCCACTGACCATTTGGATCGATCTCCAACTGGTAATGACAAATCCTGATGTATCAAGCCACCGAAAATGTTTAATATTTGATAAAGTGGTCCCCGAAACCTCAGGGTACTCTTTACTGATTCCAGTTCTTCCAGGCAGCCATCCAAGTTATTATATAACTCTGGAGCAATTACTCTATAATACTGTACCACAGAAACTAGTGAGAGTGTGGTGATCAGGATTCTACATAGTGGAAATGATGAAAACAGCATCAAATAAAATGTATTTCATTTCCATTACTTTGCCGACTCGTTGAAGTGACGACATTACCTAAGGCGGTGGCTTTCAGTACCAGTCTGATCCAGACAGTACCTCATTCTTCCATTTTTCTACGTGTTGAGATTCTACAGTCATCGTATTGCTGTACTGATTTTTCGGTTATCCACTAAAATAGATTTTATTCATGTGCATTTCCTGCACATATGGTAGGGTAGTAGTGCATCGAATTTGTCAGAAGTCTAGGATCGATCCAGATCCTGTACATGTGATTCTTTCATCGAATTCATTCTGCTGAGCACAAATGCTGCTCTGTTCTGTTCTGTGTGAGCTAATTTTAGTGCCGACCTCTTGCTAGCTCGGTGGACTCCCTTTCTGAGGTGGGCTGGATGTAAGCAGTTGGTCCTGTAAAGTCACTCGACTGTCTATGGTGCATACAATGCATGTAGATTTCATTCTTTTAATGTCGCAAAGGATTGTGGATTGGAAAAGGTCTATACTATTAATCATCGTCGTTAGAAGTTCGGCCGACTCCGAAGTCTTTGAAAGCAATATGATGACTGGTTTAAACAGTTAGATTCTTTTAGAATTGCTCGAGTCCCTTCTGAACCTAAGGAATATAGTAACAATATTCTTATAAAACTTAATGGATGAGAATGACCCTACCTGGACTGAAACGAATCTCGAAGAGTGTCCTTCAATTCATGCTCCGACACTGAGATTGCTTAGGGCTGCAGCCACACGAACAAGGTACCGACTTCATGGTCCAACTTTAATCGGCCACGTAATTGAGGTCTTTCTTAGCGACATTCAGATTAATAGATACACTGGTAGCAGTCAGCTTCAATATCAAACATAGGATGTGTGAAGTTGAATCTCACTACTTGAAGTATCGAAGTAAGTGACTTTGCTCATCAAGCTGTGAATGGGCGTGTACAGATTCTCACGACCGTTCATGCTAATTGAGGGTGTCTCAACTGTTGGAGCATTCTTGACTTTACTTCCAGCTCCATAGTCGTCAATTGATGGAGCTTCTGATGGAGCTACTCGTGGTGTTCGGTCAATGTAATGTTCACAGGCCAATGACCAAGGAAGTCGTTTGCTAACAGTCTCCACGGACTGTTTTTCACATTTGCTACAACGAACAAGGTGTAAGCCGATCACACCTGATGACAGAATGTATAAGCTTCATCAATCTCATAGAGCGGTAAATCCTCCAGATCCCAGTTATGAGATTCCAGATCACCCCTCTGAAACTGCTGATTATTGACTCTGCTCTCTTTATTCGGATCATTATTTATACTGACTGTGCTCATGAGATCATCAATGTGATTAACAAGTATTTTGCAATGGAATGACTTACATCGAACACCCAGTCCATAGTTTTCATTGTTGATCTCAGGTACTTCACCATTTGAAACCCGATCATGTTATGTTGTACAGGTAATGATTCTGTTTTTCAGGCAGAATTTTACTAGATAAAAAAATGACAGTCTCTCACCTTCTAGTAGGGAAGCTCCCTACTAAACTCCGAAGTCAAGTGAAAAGGCTGAGAATTTGGATTGGGGTCTGCGTCTTCTTCTAATTTTAGTGATGAGAACTTCGAGCCTTGAGCGTGGGATTCAAGATCAGGAAATCAAACAATGAGAGAAAAGCCAAGATGCCAGTGAGTGTGTCTAGAATTAATCTTATGTGAATGTTGTACAGATCAACAACTTTCCAGGTACTCTGAAAACTGAACTGACGTCTTCAGTAGTTAAAAAAAATAGTTTGCACTTCTGCTTTAGCTTTTCTGGAGTTCCAGAAAATATACTCACTTGTTTCCGTAGCAGATGCAGATCAAATTCAACACTCCTCAAAGCTCCAAGAAAGCTTTGATTTAGATTTGATCATCGCTGGGCTCACTATTATGATAAGAGATAGCTGACCTTTGAACTCATATACAAAGCTTGACAGTCATCATTTGGCTGTCAAGGAACGAAAGAACTATTTATGTCGTAGAAGAGTAGAAGTGCACAGTCCAGAAGACCGATACAGGTATTACTATGAAGGATAATATTGCCAGATCGAAGATATTGCACAATTCGGAACCATTTCATTACCGTTTGTGCTTCTA